AAAAAAAAAAAAAAACATTTTTATTATAATTTAAAGTAGTTCCCTTCTGTGGCTTTGCATATGTATCATCATAATCGACCTTAGTGCATTGAAAATTTACACAAAAATTACAATTTAGCTTATAAATTCACCGTAGTGCAAAAGTCACGCGGCCACCCACGTATTGAGAACATACTTTAAGCCGGTAGCTTAAATCCGATCGAAAAACACAAAAGCAAGAAAAAAGAATTTAAACTAAAACAATTAAAACAACAAAAAAAACAAAGAAAAACTGCACGCATAAGTTTTCTTCAAGTCTACATAAACAGGTTAACTCTCCACTGCAACAACCACAAGAAAGGCCTTTCAACGTGAGCTGCAAATCAGTGGGTAAGTTATTATATACACTTTGCTATCAACTTTTCTTTGTTTTATTTTTTGTATACCAGCTTGACATTGGAGCGGATTGAGAAAGCTTTGCTTAAGATCGTTAAGCACCCGCTCCTGTGTCACCGGCATTTTTCGGCTGGTTTTGTCTTATTTACATTTTGCACTTGTTTTGATTTATCATTTGCCGCGGTCAGCTATGTACATATTTATGTACATGCATGTAAGAACGTAAATGAAATAACATAAATGCACTAAACGGACATATACATGTACATACATATTTACATATATGGATTAACCTGCATACATGCCGGTGGAAGTTTTTTTTTCGTTGATGACTTAAGTATATAGGCATACATTTAAATTTTGATATTACTTAACTGAATTAATTTTTTCCGGGTGTTTTATAAATAACCTAATAACCAGCTTTATATGGAAATTTAAAAAAATAATTTTACGAACGTGTGAAACTTTTGGTTCAGAGCACCCATACTAACTATTTGCTAATAATAAAACCTATATTTTTTCATGCACTAAAGTACTACGTAAACCATACCTACGAATAATTCCCATAACTTGAATTTTTTATTTCCATAGGACTAATTGTTTTCTTAAGCTTACTCCCTATTGTCTTAGATTAAGTTTGCATTTGTAGAAAATAAATATAATTTTGAAATAAAATACACAGAAAATAATATTCCCCTGAAATTGACTCTGGCTAACATTTGGAACGGATGAGCATGTAAGCGCCATGATTGGCTGAAACTATTTTTTCCGTTTCCTCGCGGTAGGGGAAACTAATATGTTGGTAACGTAACCGGATATGGGGTTTTCAACAAATGGCAGCCAACGAAAACCATGGATGGGTGGGTAGTGAGCTAGCAGATTGACTTCATCTTTGATTTGCTACATATCCGGCAAAGTTGAGAGAGCCCACAATGAGAGTTCTGAAGAGTGTTTAATTAATTATAATACCGGTCCCTATCCGTTTTTACTATTTAATTCTTTTTGTTCACTTATTATTCTCTTTCTAACTTAAAGTTTTTTTTTTGTTATAAATTCGGGACTCTATAATAAAATAGTGCCGCAGTGTAAAGAGCAAATAGGATAGCCAAGAACCTCCCCAGCCACTGAAGCTAGCCCAGATAAATGGGTCCCGATCGGCTATCCTAACAGCCCAAATTCTTGCCTTACAAGATACCACCCTGCAATGTTCAATGCGGTTACA